AAAGAACTTTCTTTCACCTACTTGAATTTTTCCTAAGCATTAACCTTGTCCAAATAACACAACAAGCAAAAATATTTCCATCTGACTTGACCAAAGCATTAATAAACCAAAGAGTGATTGATTCTTTCCTATTCCAAAAAGAAATGATTCTCAGATACAAAAATACAATCTTCAAATTAAAACCATAAAGGTAGGCCTAAATTCTGGAACAAATAAATTCTAATAGCATAGGTACCAATCTGAAAAACTCCAAAGCTAGGCCTTTAGGGGGCACCAAGGAAAACAGTACTAAATTCTAATAGCATAAAGCAGTTCTAAAGGAAGCAGTGTGACAACACCATTAATACTACAGTCACCTGCATGCTCCAATCCTCAAAATACTAGTATTTTATAGCATGAACAAATAATTCACATAATTTACAAGGCACCAATTTAAGAATTTTATCATCAAATAGTTAAGAAAAGATGGCTCTGGCTACCAAATTTAATTGAATAAACAAACAATTCCTAAAAGCAACCTTCTCTTTTCTAGATTCGACAAGAAATTGGAGTAATAAAATAAAAGTACTTTCTATCCCTGTTGCTGCCGGAGAACAAAAAAGGGTAAATCATTGAATTTCAGAAGGTCGTTTCCTTCGATTCCTTTTTTGCTACCATCGATGGCGTGATTGTATTTAAAAAATTCAAGGGACTGATGATTAAAAAGAGACCCAACAAAAAAAGATAGAGATTTTTTCAATTTTTTTTGGGTAGATAGAGCTTACCGTCCCTTGATCCCTTCTCTTTGACGGAGATGATGAATTGCAGCTGTAGAATCGACGGAGATGATGAATTGCAACAACATAATGGGGTTAAAGTAGTGGGTGTTGGAGATTAAATCGCTGGCGTGGGATTGCATTTGAAAAATTGGAGAAATTGGAGGAATCGATGGAGATGGAGATGATTGCAGAAGAAGTGAAAAAAAACAGGGGTTACCATCGATGGAGAAGATGAATTGCAGTGGAATCGAAGGATTCAGAGGAGTCGATGGAGATGAAAGGCGATGGAGAAGGAATTGGAGATAGAGATGGAGATGATTGCAGAAGAGGCAAAGGCAAAGGCAAAGGCAAAGAGGAGGGGCTGGAATTAAGAGAACGACGCCATTTTGGTTGGGACTCCAATTTTTTTTGGGAGGTAGGACTGATGTGTAGTTTACCGATATATATATATATATAACTAAAAAAGATTAAAAAAAAAAACTAAAAAAAGTAAAAAAGGGTAAAAATATATATGAATAAAATTATTAATTAATTAATTGAGTTAACTTAATTTATGATTAATAAACTTAATTAATTTTAATTAAAATAAATTAATTATTTTTATTGAATTTGATTTGAGATGATTAGATTTATTTAATCATTTTAATTAGAGATCAATAGATGTGATTAATTAATTTTAATTAATGTTAATTAACCTCAAATTAATCATTCAATTAGGTTAATTATCATGATTAATTAATTTTAATTCTCAAATTAACTTTAATCTTGGTCCAAGTCAAAATTATATTTCTTCATTTCAATTTCACCCAAAACTTTTATAATTAAGCAATTTAGTCCGAGGTCTCAACTCTTTTCAAATTAGTCCTCCATGTTTTGAATCTAATCACATCATTCCATTTAACATTTCGTTTGTGGCTGTGGTGCATGCATGTTCTTGATTTTGTCTATTTTAGTTCGAAAAATTTTAAAATGTTGCAATTTGGTTTATCTCTTTTTCAAACTTGTTTATTAAGATCTAAATATAAATATAATGAATAAGTTAAATTAAAACCCCCAATCTTAAAGTATGCAACCGTGTTTAAACAGAGGATTGTGAGGTGCGTGTATGACCTTCTTCATTCCTAACCGAACTCCCGAACCCTGATCTTTGCACAGACTCGTTTTTAAGGTGACTTATCCCACCTTGTAATTTGGACGAGTGGCGACTCCCTTTTTTATATTTTTACACTTAATTTTTCATTATTTTGAAATCTTAAGTGGTCGTCAACAAGTTGGCGACTCCACTGGGGACGATTCAAACCTAGAATCTCTGGTTTCCATATTCTGGGTTCACGAGGGTCGAGCTAATACTTTAACTTTGGGGAATTTTCAAATTTTGATTTTTTTTTTTATTATTGAGTCTTTGTAGGTCTTTGTCACTTATTGCATGTGCTTTTTGTGTGGTGCTTTTTCCTTATTTGCTTATTGTTTTGGTGGTTGCTTTTATTGTGTTTGCCTTTGAGTGATTATCTTGTTACATCTTGACATGCATCATATCTTGCTCACATGTTCATGCATCACATCATCTCACATGCTCATGCATCACTGATGTTACATGCTATTCATCATACATCATGCTTACATGCCTGTTTGCTTGTGTGTGGATGTACTAACCTTTCATGTTTGACATGGGAGTACTAGGTGAGTCCCTTCCTGCTGTGTAAGTAGGTTTATTTGTGGATGTTGTATCTATTGGGTGCTTTACATACTTTATTTGATTGCCATGGGATATATGTTGCTATTTTTGTGGTTGCCATTGTGTAGGTTATTGGAGTGTCATACCCCTTGCACACACTCACTCTCATTTTGCATTAGATCGGTGTCTAAGGTGAACTAGACCTCTAGTTTGGAATCCTTATGAATCTGGCTTGGAAGAGCAATTCTTCCCGCTTTGAGGAGTAAGATCAGTTCCCATTAGGTCGTTTCCATTGATTAATACAATACTTGATGATGTAATATCATCCTATGTATTAGCATTTGGAAATATCTCTCATTAATTCTAAAAGGATAAATGGTTGAGAAGGCCTAACGCCCTTTAGGAAACCATGCAGTGAACTTAAAGAAAAACCACCCATAGGACTTGTTAGCCTAGAAAGCCACTAGTGAGGTTTGGATTCCTGTGTCTAAATACACAAGGGGCATTTTATATCTTACCTTACTTTTCGCACTTGCAGGTGTTCATTAAGTCAATCGTGTCAAGTTTCATGACATCCATAACATTCATTCATTCCATGCACTTTGCTTTTTCACTTTCTACTCAATACTACATTGAAACCATTCACTTCTGCACTTTCGCTTTCTATTCCATACATCATAGAAAAAAAAAATTCATAATTGTTTTACATGTCATACATTCATTCCATTCACTTCACATTAAGTCTTCCATTTATCATCAACATTTCACATGTCATATGTTCATTATGTTGCATTTTCCATCTCATGCATCACAAAATATGCTTTCATGTTCATTCCACATGACATTCTCCATTCTATTCATTTTACATTTCATTTCAATCTCATATTTCACAAAAATTTCCAAAAAAGAGTTAAAAAAAAAAAGTAATTCCACCCATATTCACTACATTACATCTTCCATCCTACATAAAAATTGCATAAAAAAAAAAAAAC